ACCTACAAGTGATGGCATCGATGATGCCGCAGACACCAGATAAATCGAACTACCAATTTCGGTTTCGGATTCAGTTTCAGTTTTATTATAAACAATCTGAAGCTTAGAAGTCAAAATTTCAAATCTTCTAAATAAAATTTGTACGCCTTCGATAAAAAAGTTTTCTTCTTTTTTTCTACTTATTCGAACTCTAAACGTAACGTTCAATAAAGTTTTAAACAGGAATATTCATTGCTTGTCCTTGCAATTACGACAAGCAAAGGGATCTTTATTTTATTTAATAAATTAAAACATGTTGACTTGAAAAAAATAAATATGTTAATATGAAATATTTAAATATTTAAAATACATTATACATCAATGCAAAACCTATTATTGTACAAATTCTTTCAATATTACAAATTTAATGACAAATTTCCTCCTAAATTTTCGCTCATCTTTATCTATAATAATTATGTTCTAAAAATTCATCTAATAAGGGATAAATAACTAATTCAATATTTTGGTGTAAATTATATCCATAAAGGTATCCCATTAACAACTTCTCGTGGTTTTAATGTCTGACCGATAAGAGCCTGTGATAATAAATCGTGTTCTTCTTGAATATGTTGTTTCTTGTTACCAGTTGCAGGAGACGCTAATGGTGGACGGGTTGCAAACTCAGCAGTTTTACCTATTATAATATTAATAATATTAATTAGGTTTTACTTAAATTATCATAAAAATGTTGTAAATGAAAGATATATTAAAATTTAACAAACCTCCATAATGTTCAGAATGATTCATAAGTGTTCCTATCCTGGGTGCTACATATGTCCATGCACCTTGATTCAAAGGTTCTTCCTGAGCCCATATTAATTTAGCATTTGGGTATTTATCGATATGTTTTGATAACAAGTCATGTGGAAATGGACTTAATTGTTCAAGTCTAGAAATAGCAACGTTATCTATCTTATTTAAATCACGAGCCTTCAAAAGGGTATAATAAACTTGTCCAGAGCATAAAATATGTCGCGTTATTTTTTCTGGAGAGGCAAGTTGATCTGGGTGAGGTTCCGGTATGTATCGTTGGAATATTGTATTGCCAGTCATCTCAATAAGGCTAGACCGAGACATTGGATGTCGAAGAAGGCTCTTCGATGTAAAAACAACAAGCTATATAAAAACGTTATAAAACATTTATGTTAAATAATGACGTATATAATTATACAAAAAAAAAAAATGAAATTACATACTGGTTTTCTAAAGTCGCGATAAATTTGCCTCCTCAAAACGTGGAAATAGTTTGCAGGTGTAGAACAATATACAACTTGCATATTACATTCTTGATGCTGACGTGCCATTTTTTCTGGCGAAGGATAAATAAAAGGATGATCATCACAAAGTTGAAGGAAACGTTCAATTCGACCACTAGAATGTTCGGGACCTTGTCCATCATAACCATGTGGAAGTAACGTTACCAATCCTGTTCGTTGATGCCACTTCTTTTCACCAGTAGCAATAAATTGATCAATTATACATTGAGCATTATTGGCAAAGTCTCCAAATTGTGCTTCCCATAAGATAAGAGAATTAGGATTGACCAGTGAGTAACCAAGTTCAAATCCCAAAGTTCCAAACTCGGAAAGCGATGAGTTACAGACATCAAATGGTGCCTGACCCGGTCTCAAGTCATTCAGAGGAACATATTGAGTTTCGTTTTCTTGGTCATGAAGGACAG